TAATTCTAGGAGCAAGCCGGCGAGTTTTGCACGTTTGGCACAATTAGTTAAAACTTTATTTTTTCTTGGCAAAAATTTGATTACAATACATGTTTCTTTGAATATATATTTTCAATTTTAATCCTCATAAAATTAATTAAAAAATAAGATCCTGTTATTTATTTTTATTTTTACAACAGTAAAAAACATTTGACCTTTGATTTGATCGTAACTTTTAGAAACTATCAGATATCTCGATATTTTTAGAAAATAAAAAAATTATTATATAAGAAAAATGCATTTAACGCCTTCCTCCCTTGCGCTATTATTGTTAGGCAAATAAATTAAGATTTGAAAGTTCTAGTATTAAATATTCTGAAATTTTACATGTTTAATTGATTATTTTATTATAAAGTAATTTATTTTTTACGAACTTATCTGATAAATAAATCGTATATAAAAGTCACATTTTAATAATAAAATGCGTTTAATAATAAAATTGTACAATATATATGTTGTCCATTATTTATTAAACTTATAATAATATTTAAAACGCTCATAATATAAAATGCGTGTTTTAGTACGTGTTCAGGTTCTGAGATAATGGTCTTGCTGGAAATCCAAGTGGCGTGACGCGCACTACTTCCCTCAAATTGGCATAATCGAGAGACATTAAGTGGTTGATCGACTATTTAAAGCGACACGTTTAAGTCTCGAAACGTCGTACTGCGGTTCTTCTCGCCGCAAGGTGCCTGTCGGAGGCCATTAACCTCATTACGTATGCTTAACCCGTTCATATCAAAGTAGTTACAGGATACTACAGGATACCGTAATGACGGAAAAATATTTTTTTAGTAAATTTTGAAATAATAAAGAAATTACTCTCCATTTATTCCGCCACATCTTTTAATTCAAAATTTCAGTGTAGTGATAAAAGCGGTGATTATAATATTATAATTAATAGTACAATTCATTAAAAAAATACGTAATAATGTTAATTATGTTCATACGCATACATATTTTTTATTCTCATTCATTAAACATGATAAATCCCCAAACTGCTGCAAAAATGAGAGAAAATGTGAATGAAATGAAAACATGTTGAATTCAAACAATAATGAGCGCGAACTTTTTTAATACGTTAATTCTTAATGACATAACAAAACATTCCTTGCACTAATCTTCCCGGATAATGCCTCTCGAGCATTTCTACGAGATGGAAATAAAAAGTACCTATAGCTGCCAGTGCTCAAAATGAACAATAATGGGAGATCTTGCATGAAGAATTTTCCTAAGAGCGAAGAGGGTTCTCTCTCGTATCTGCTCCTGCCGGGGTCTATAAGCGACACAATAGAGCCAATGACATGCATTCTCGTAAACTCTGACGAGGCCGCGGGATGCCGCGGTTAAGTCTCTGCATGTTGTCAAAATGTATTCCGAGAAACCCGACGAAAGGACTAGCGGCTGCAGGCCAGAGAATGGGATGAGAATGCATGCCAGGGAGATGTGTGCATGCCTGATCGATATCTTACTTAACCAAGGCTCCTCCCTCTTCTTCGAGTCCTCATTTCATATTCAGCGATAAGAAATTACGAAATTACAACCGTGTCACATTGTTATCATATCGGATTATATATGTTACGGTGAAAGTATTTAATCCGCGACGATCTCTGGTAACTTGGTAACTTTAGATTCAATAGTTACGTTGATAAATGCAAGAGATTTAAGTTATTTTATGATTTCAGTAATAGTTTATTCGATATGCTAAACTCTCCAATTTAACTAAATCAAATATCGAGTTTCAATATTTTTTGCCATCGTGCTTAATAATTAAGCTTTAATTGACAATTTGTAAATGTCTAATATCTATAAATTTAAAATTAAATAAAAAATATATATCTATTTATATTTTTAAGAGATAATTTCTAAACCTTTTTAATTTTAAATCATTTGAATTTAAAACATTATAACAAATCGATATATTGATTTTTTATTATAAAAAATTGACTGTCGTTAAGTATGAAATTTCGTTAAACAATTTTTGAATTAAAAATTTAATGGCATGATTCAATCATAATGTATATTAAACGTAATAATGTATTGTATATATAATGTGGATTATAATTTTTACTAATATTTTACTATTATATCATAATAATATAATTTTTCCCTTCTTAACTTTTTCTTTTTAACTTTTGCTGTCTCTTTACTTGTTCACATATTTATATTCAGAACGAATAGAAATATTCACGAATAGAAATATTAAATACAAGACATTAGATTTGCCTCACGTTGATTTAGCTAATGAAAAATTTATATAATTTCTAGAGATAATAAAACGCGTATCACACACAAGTACATTATATATCATTAAAAAATTTCACAATTTTTTTGCAGGATTAAACGGTTGACACAATTTAATATCCGCTAAACATAATTTGAAACGTTTTCCAATGATATATCTTATTCACGGTCGATGCTGTTCAGCGTGTTGACTCCCGAGGCAGTCGTTTGAAATATTGAAATAGTTAAAAAAGCGTCATTGCAAACATTCGTCGCGGTTATCAGCGAGTGTGTGGAATGATGACAGAAAACGTGGACTCTAGGTGGTCTCCGCGGTGCATTCGTAATTTCTTGCACCCCTTTTGAAACGAATTCTCTCTCCTCCTTCTTCCCCCACACGTCATTGCGCATCCAGCACGAAAAAGCATTGCCGACGACAAGAAGATCCCGACGAATAACGACCATTCGTTTGTCGGTGTGCCTTTCACATATATAAACGACATAGCGTCGGTCCGGATCAGTTCAGCTGTCTCTCGTTTGCTTATGTATTTATTCGATCATATTTGAATAATTGGTCTCCCGATAGGGCTTAATATATAAATGGGTAACTTGCCTCGTATGATTAATGTCAGTGATTGAGAGAGAAAGAGAGATGCGATCAAAAAAAAAAATTATAATTTATAACATTAAAATAGCAATATAAATTTTACGTCATTTACTGATACGTATAATTGTTAATTATGATCCAAGAATATTTTATATTTAAAAGATTATTTTTATGTATGGATTATTTGCAAATGCAAATCTCTCTAGTTTCGATGTTAATACAGTATGAAATTGTCAATAATTTTTTATGATTTTATATTTATTTTTTTTCGAATATTATTTTTCAAAGATTATTTCGTTATTTGTAAATATCTTGTCGAGCTTTATTAATATATTTATTTTAACTTTTATTGCGTTACGAGGAAAATCACAAATTAAATAAATAGGTATGCATACATATATGGCGGCAATAATGGATACGATGCATTTCGACTTTAGTGTACTAATGTATATATGTATATATTAATATTGTAGTAGATAAACTTACACATATAAGTATATAATATTTTTATATAACTACTATAACTATAACCCGCTTATTTAAAGGTGATAGAGAGATTAAGTCTCAATAACTTGATAAATAAATATGCTGCAGTGGTTCGCATATTTTTTAAAAAATTCTCGTAATACTATAAAACTATTATATACAGACTTTAAAATAAGCTGTGCATATATCATTTTTTTATCACTAAAAACAATTTATAAAAAATAGTACGTATATATATGTGTACTATTGATTAGTAGTACAATAGCTCTTGTTATAGAATAGATCGTACGAAGTAAGATACGAAATAACTTTAATTTATATATATATAAATAAATTGAGATTATATAATATTAACATTAAATTAAGTCTAGAAATATATTAATATAGAAGTTATATAAATTTTATTTTTGTTGATATAAGACGAAATATTGATTTATACATATGTATATTGAATAATTATAGTATGTTGATAGATACTAATATTACCGAATTAAATTTAATAACTTAGAATTAAATTTAAAAATTAAATTTATAAAAAAAATTTTTTTTAATTAATCGTACAATTTCAGTTTATCTATTATATTTTAAAGAATTTTTTGCTATTTATGACCGTAGAAATCATACTACCGTAGCATAGGTTCAAAAATAACGATGAATGCGATAAAAATAACTAGTGAATTCGTTATTCGTTAGCGAAACATATAACAAAATTACTTTTTTCCGTTGCAGAAAAAGATTGTTATAGTTTACCGAAAATAAATGAAATAAGTAATAATAATAATGTTACAAGTAACTTTTCAATTTTGACAATATTCGTACATTTAGCGACGTAAGAACATTTGATCAGTTTATCCTTACTTGAACTGTATATACATTATTAAAATTTGCAGATTAAAGAATTGACAAATGAGAAATTCATCAATGTGTGTAAATTCGGGGGAAAAATTAAAGTAAGAGAATAGTTTAAAAAATTAAAGAAATTGTGACAAACACGTGCTCGTGCTCGTGTTTTTGGACAAACAGGTTTTCGAACAGGTAATGATGACATTTTTGATATAATTTTGCTTTAACTAAGATAAAGCCAAGTTTTCAATCAAAATTGATGAATTGAAATTTTTATAATAATATATAATTTATTTTTAAAAATGTAATTTATCATAAATAAAATTTATAAAATACTTATGTTATTTAGTACACATTATAGAAAATTTAATTGATTACTTGGCTTTAAATTAATTAAAGTAAAATTTAAGAACAATTTATACCAAACAAGCTCTACAATATAGATGAATAAGCTAAAACCACAAATTAAAATAAGATCGGTGAGATATAAATTATTATCATTACATGTAATTATTAAAATTAACGTGTTCTTTGTTAAATCAATTAGATAAATTAAAATTTTATTAAAAATTTATTAAAATTAATTGAAAAAATTACTCTTTCTATAATTATCCTTTTTTCATTTTTATTATTTTAACTTGGATTAGATGCATAATGAAAGGATTTATTCAAAGCTATTCAACTTAATCTGTTCTAGCTCATCCATTTTGAGATAATCGGACTTATCTACAATCTATATAATCTACGTTTACAACTTCTACAAATCCGTTACCTCAAAATTAAATACAAGTTTATCACTCACTGATATCGATGTGCAACTGCAAGGTTGTTGATATGCGACGCTACGCTGTCTGTAACATACAAAGTATAAAATTCAAATTATAACAATGCCGAAAATAATTAATATTTCAAGAAATTATTATTGTTGTACACGCTGAATTTTATGTCCGATATATACAAGCAGACATATAAATATATGTAAAATAATTAGATAAATTCTTAATAATTTAAAAATAAAAACACAGAAATATTTTTATACAATTTATATAAGTCTTTCTCTTTCAAAGTCTTTCTTGTTTAAATTCAAATAAATAAACCGAATTAATGCGTGTGTACACGATTCATATTAATTAACAAACAAATAATGATACTCACCCTAGGATTTCTCCGCCAATTCTCGATGCCTTTCCCAGGCCTCCTCCTCCTCTCAAGTCATCAGGATTGTCAAAGTCCATTGAATAACATCGCGCGACACTTTTACGGCACTCCCGCACTTGTAGATACACGCGCGATATATATAAACTCACTTTGCGTTGAGTTTATTATCTAACCTCTCTACTTTAATATATCCGCTTCAATGTTCCACTGCTGCTCTGCCATAATCCCATATGATTTGTCTGATTACTGCACTGTTTTTTCTATTTAATATTTGCAATCATTATTTATCGCACTTCACTACACACCGATACACTTCGAAATGAACGAACGATACGAAGAAAATAAGATTACTCGCGAATACATTTCGTGACATCGCGACGAGTGAACGAAAAGTGTCATGGCGAAGAGACACTGCGCGACATCACTCGGCGACACTCGGTACTACAATTATCAAGCAAACAACAAACCCGCGACGACCTTCACGCTGCACGTCTAGCGCAAGACTCGAGACTGATCACGTCGACCCGCACGCTACGCGTCTAGCGGGAGCCTGATTCCAATAGCCAATCGCGAGGCTCCGTACGTATGGAGCCTCGTGATTGGTGCGCCGTAGGGTTCGCCTGCCAGTATATAAGAGCTGCGTTGACCGACAGACTCGAACAAATGCTTCTTGACGTTCTACTGTGCTGGTCAGCGGACGACGCTCCTCGGTGAATAAACCTCGTCTAACCATCAGCTAACTTTAACTTAAAGAAACAGACCCGGAAGAATATTAGACTGAATAATAAGAAAAAGAGAAGAAAATTACATTCTGAAGATTTTTAAAAATATATATATTTTATAAACGGCCCTTTTTAGGGCCACTAATTTCCAACGGAGGACGTTATTCGTTCGCAATTGATTTCCTTTATACATTCTTTTTCTTTATACAATTACATATAAGTAAATAGAAAATATAAATGATTAAATTATATTATTTAAAACAAACTATCCTAAAACTACTTATTCAAAAAAAACTTATTGATTCTATATATAAATATCTTGCTATATACAAATTATAGATTTTATACATTTAATTATACATATACCTATTATATTAATTGAAAATGTACACACATGAATTTTAGAGTTTCTCATTTAATTATTTATTCGTATGATTATATTTGTATAATTATATACGAATAAATAAAAAAATTCATGTGTGTACATCTTGAAATAATATAACAGCTATATGTATAATTTAAATGTATAAAATCTACATATTTTTAGGTAGCAAGATATTTATATATAAAAGCAACAAGTATTTTTTTTTAATAATTAGTTTTAGAATCGTTTGTTTTAAATAGTAGAATTCAATCGTCTACATATTCTTAAAATATAACGATATAAAAATTTTCAATAAAATGCAATGATGAAAAGCGATTGATAAAAGTATTTTTGATATCATATGTATTGTTTAGACAATAATAAAGAAAATTGTATAAAGAAAAGAATGTATAAATGAAAAGAAATGTGAACGATGACATTCTCTGTCGGAAATTGATGGCCTTAAAAAGGGCCGTTTATAAAATATATATATTATTAAAAATCTTCAGTATGTAATTTTCTTCTCTTTTTTTTTATTCGGTCTAATATTCTTTTGAGTCTGTTTCTTTAAGTTAAAGTTAGCTGATTGCTAAACGAGGTTTATTCATCGAGGAGCGTCGTCCGCTGACCAGCACAGTAGAACGTCAAAAAGCATCTGTACGAGTCTGTCGGTCAACGCAGCTCTTATATACTGGCAAGCGAACCCTACGGCGCACCAATCGCGAGGCTCCGTACGTATGGAGCCTCGTGATTGGCTATTGGGATCAGGCTCCCGCTAGACGCGTAGCACGCGGGTCGACGTGGATTCAGTCTCGAGTCTCGCGCTAGACGTGCATCGTGTAGGTCATCGCAGGTTTGTTGTTTGCTTGATAATTGTAGTACCGAGTGTCGCCGAGTGATGTCGCGCAGTGTCTCTTCGCCATGACACTTTTCGTTCACTCTTCGCGATGTCACGAAATGTATTCGCGAGTAATCTTATTTTCTTCGTATCGTTCGTTCATTTCGAAGTGTATCGGTGTGTAGTGAAGTGCGATCAATAATTATTGCAAATATAAAATCATAGAAAAAACAGTGCAGTGGTCAGTGTCAAACCATATGGGATTATAGCAGAGCAGCAGTGGAACATTAAAGCGGAATATTAGCGGAGAGGAGGAGGAGGCCTAGGAAAGGCATCGGGCATTGGCGGAGAAACCCTAGGGTGAGTGTCATTATTTGTATGTTAATTATTAAGTTAATATAAAACTGAGAAATAGCGCGCACTTTCGTTGCTCTAGTTTACTTAAAAGATATGTGTGTGTTAAAGTATGTGTGAAAGGGTACGTAAAATATGTGTATTTTATTAAAGTATATAATATTCTGTGTCAGAAATTGTATACTAACAAATTATTCATTTTATCATTCATTCATTCATTAAAAATGCATTTGTTTCAAAGCAAGGGAACATTATATTTAAAAACTCATAGAAGATTATATAGATGATTTTTTAGCGATCATGAAATATTTCTCACACATTCTCTGTTATGTAATATAATGATAAAATTCAAAGATGTCAATCAAAACCATAGTTTTTCAAAATCTTTTTTCTTGAAAATTATAAGTTCTATTACGAAAGAAATAAAACATTATGAAATACATAGTGGAATAAGGAAAAGAAATACTTCTCTTTTAATCTATTATTTATTTTCAAAAGAAATTTATTATTTATTTCTACAATACAACGTGCTATACTTATCTTTGTTATTATACTTAGAAATGTCTATCATCATTATAGACATATATTGTTATTAACTTTACCAATATGATATTATAGCGACCAAATTTTCTTGTGATTAGCCAGAATATGTACTCTCATTAACGGGACAAACAAATTGCATGAGTCTTACAATTAGGTGAACTTACAATTAGAAAAGCAAGTATAATTTCTGCGTTCAAGCTATCGCGTCTCTGCTTTGTCGCATACGACGTTCTCATATATTTGATACGCGATTAAAAGTCTAAAAAATTTGTAAAAGTATTTATATGATTTGATGAACGAAAAAATATAATCCAATTGAAGTCTTCCTGTTATTGCATTATAGATATTTGACAATTTTTACAATTTTTTATTTAGATTTTTATTTTTACTTTTGCAATTGTTTTTTGCGCTATTGATAATGAATATTTTTGAATATTTCTTTACTCTTAAAATTGAGAAGCATTTAATATAAAGATCGAATGTTTTTATCTGTATTTCGGATAAAGATTTTATCTGTGTTACAATAGCTTTTTCTTTAGATTTTTGTTTTCACTTTAACGACGTTTGACTTCTACCAACTTTATTCTGTAACGATTCATAATTTTAAAAATTTGTCTTATCATATTACTTAAAAACATTTCTCTCTCCCGGATAAAGCTCTTCCTCGGCTATATGAAGAATAAATAATTATTATACTACTATTATACGATTTCTTTCCGTTCTGCGCATAACGTAACGTTGAGATGCGAATCAAGAAGCGTAACCAGTATATTCGCTTCTGTCGGCTTATAAAAATGCATGCGTACCTTGGCGCGAGTGTACCAAGAGGGAATGCCGAGAATATATACCTCCTCACCCCTTTCTCCTTTTTCCTCCACCCCCGTGTTTTGTGTATATATCGACAACTCGCGGGAGAGAAGAAGTACATGCTCTCTAAACATACTCAACGCGGATACTCGACAAGACCGCAAACAGCGAACGCCACGGCCCGGAAATAAAACGATACCGCATAATACACACACACATACACACATGCTCTCGTAACTCGCAAAAAATGCATGGAACACAGCGCATAATGCGTTCGATCCAAAAATCCCTAAGGCAAATGCCCCAATTACTTTCAGGCGTGCTGGGATTTTCCATGTTTTACATAATCGGAATCATATTGAACGCTCGTATTTTTCGGCGGAAAAAAGAATAGAAAGATACCACACATTTAATAAACTACAGATGGTAGATGCGCGCAGTTTCGTTGTGTCAAGATTAATTCCTGTCTTTCGCGCGAAAATGGTCTCTCGTCTAATTGACAAATACGGGCAATTCGTTCTCTAATCCTTTTCTCGTCTATCTTGAAATATTCTACAGAGAGAAACTTGCCTTGCTCGTATTTCGCAAACGAGAGATATTGTGCGAGGTCTTTTAATCATTATGCAATTATATTATATATATATATATATATATATATATATATATATATGCATAAGTAAAAAATAGTATTAAATATAATAACGAGAAAGAAACAAAATATAATATTTTAAATAAATTTGCTTAAGTAAAATATTGACTGCAAGAAATCCCTTTTAATCTTGTTAATAATTTTAAGAGATAAAACATTTAAAAAATATGTGACGTTAAAACAAATATTTCTAGCTACGAAATACATTCAGGAGTATCTCATTTATGTAGAATACAATTTTCTCATTTTTTACGGATCTAATTTGTATATTTAAGTTACACATTAAAAATGATATGTAATAGTCATAACATGACTTAGATAAATATTTTATAAAAATACGCATATATATATACCTATATATTAAAATGGAAAAAAGAATTTATATTTGAAAGAAATATATCTTTTTTCGTAGTTTTTTAAATAAAATATCTGTTTTTTAGGAACAAATAAAAAATGTGGTTGAATGTAAAAATTATTTTTTGCAGTATTAATTATTTTGAAAATTATAGTACGCAGTATTGATTTGTACAATTTTACGAAGAGATTAAAAGATTTTTCAAAATAATTAAGACTACAAAAAATAATTTTTACATTCAACTACATTCTTATTTGTTTCTAAAAAAACAGATACTTTATTTAAAAATTACAAAAATATATATATACTTCTTTCAAATATAAATTTTTTTTCTATTTTAATATTATATGTATTATATAATCGACATATACAATATTGTATATGATATTGTATGATACATAATTTGTTTTTTAAGAATTGCTTTGTACAGAAAATTAATTTTAAAATCTTCTAAAAAAATGTTCCTATGTTTTTTTAATATTTTGGCAGCGCGAAAAAAAAACTATAATAGCTACAATTTTAATGTTTTGATTACGTTCGTAAAGACAGTTTTGAAGAGATCATAATGTGTCCACAAATTTTGTTGTACATCTCACGATTTTCATATATATATTAATTATTTAATAATAATTTAACTTTTTTAATAACTCATCATACACGTTGGATTGTGAATTGTAACTCATCGTATATATCGATTTGCTTATCGTTGACAGTGAGAAATCATTCCAAGTAAAACTAACTAAATTTTGTGTAAAAAATATTAAAAAAATATATAACTGTGTATTTATATAAAATGTAACAATATTTCTAAAATTATTAATTTATTATAATCTAAAATATATAACTGTGTATTTATATAAAATACAATATGTTTGAAATTATTAATTCATTATAAATGCAAAGGATCTTTTTTAAATTATTTGCATGTTTTAAAATATTAATGTGAGGTCAATCATTGCTATATATTATTGTTACAGTTAGTATTAATATTAATATTACTGTATATTTTGTTATTATATAGTGTAATCTTTTACATTATACACTAATTTAAAAAAATGTTTGCATTACATTACAATTTTCATACATTTCAAGCAAGATTCATACTGGTAGAATTTTCAGCGCAAAATATACGTTCGTCGATTTATGAATTAACATATTCATGAAAATGTTAATACACATTTATATTATGTAATCTAAAAGCTTTCGAAAATATTAATATTTTTGTTCCCAATACGATGTGTACTATCAATCAATATCTGTTACATTACAACTTACGTTATACGTACTAATTAGTTGTCGCCGAAAGAAATGTATACCAGTCGCGAAAAATAAAACAAGTAGTGTAAAATTAGCACGTCATGGCCGCCATCAGAAGAACAAAGTCGGCAACGATCGAAGGTCGATAATTCGTAAGTGGTCGAGCGAGTGTGTTGTCAAGTTAACCGCGAGAGAAGGCCGTCGCTGTAAAAGACGTTAAAAATACATATTACCCTTGCAATATCGCGCGAACGAGTTACGCGACATTACCCGGCAAATATCGAATAACTTACGCGACATTAACCGCGCGCGCATACATATGAACGTATCCACATATACACGCCGATGACATGGCCGCGAGACGGCGGGGCTTACGTTTACTTGGGGGAAAAAGAAGATGCGCCCCAAGATCGCTGCGCGATCTCTTCTCTTCTCTTCTCTTCTTCTCTCAAAGTATATTTATCATATTGTTGTATAAATTTACCTCCTCCTCACCTCGCAGATCGCACGGAGACCACGCACCATGCACTCGGTTGTCGCCGGTTAATCATAAGAATGCGCCGACGTTCGCGCGCGTTGGCCACACTTCGCGAGCGCTTCGGCGCGACTCGGCAATCTTCGGCCGCGCTCGGGCGAGCGACCGGCGCGCGCCCGGTTCCCCACTCAGCGCGCTTCGCGCATCGCTTCAGTGCTGATCGTGTGTTCGTCGCGCGTGTGTCTCTTTCGTGATCGCTCGAGCAAAAAGTCACCCTCCGCTACCGGTCGGTCGCGCGTAACTCGATCGCGCGTGCCCCGAAATTATCCGCGCACATTATTCAAACGGGGTGATAAAGTGCGACAAGATTCGAGAGTGCCGCGACACTCGTCGAAAACTCGCTATTGGAAACATTTCTCGACGTCGCGGAATCTTGCAACGGGGATACAGATATATATCGCGAAACCGCAACAAATTTTTCCTTCGGACACGACAAGAAAGAATGGACTGGGGATACTTCACAAGCGAGGCGAAAATATTGTTTTGAATGACGTAGAGGTGTCGTATAGTGATCCAAAGTCGCGCGCTCTAAATTCGCAACAAGTTGCAGGAGAGTGTGCTTTTTTTTTACGTTTTCCTCGACTCTTTCCGTTTCTCTTACGCGAGTGTGTGCGTGTTCGTATGTGTGCGTGATCGAAGAGGATTAATATCGGTGATGATCCTGTGAAGTAAGCTGCGAGACGTAATCGTTCTCAGTAATGGCAACCGAATCCTCGAACGTGAAACGGACTGTATTCACGAACGATTGCATTCGAAGGAAATGTCGTGTCCTGTGATCGTGTGTTCTCCAGGGATCCTTTGACGGTAGGCTATGTGCTGTTTCTCCTTTTCTCATTTTCCTTGTCATTACAAGCGCGCATAGATGTTAAGAGAATGATTAATGGAGAAATACTTGCAAGAGATAACAGTTTGCGATAAACATAATAGAAAATCTTTTTCAAAGTAGTTAATATCATACGATTAATATCAGATAAATAAGTGACAGCTAATATAGTTAAAATTGTTCAAATATATATTTCTTATATGTTTATTGTTGTTATATATTTTTTTCTTATACATGCGGTTCATATATGTATACGTATATATAAAATATATATAAAACAAATATATATATGATATATAAAAATATAATATACATATAAAAATATAATATACATATAAAAATATAATTTACACATACCTAAATATAAATAAATTCATGTTTTTTATATATGTATTTCTTTATAATTTATCATTAAATTTCTCCATTTTACATTCAACATGAATTCATTCTCCACGCTTATTTTGCTCCCGTATGCATTTCAGGAATAGAAATGCACGATTTTTAATTACGATGTATTAAAATAATATTACAAGGTATTTTTTTTGCCGAATGCTACGTTTGATTTTGTTGTGCTCATTAACATTACTCGTTGCAACCTTTCTCCTCAATTTTCATTACAGTTTTGCCATAAATTAATTTAAAAATTTTTAATTGTAACGCCAGCAGTGAACATCATGGCGGCAGTTTATGTATGCATATATGTTCAGAGAATGGAGCGCGAATGGACGAAAAACTTGCCAAAAACATATTTTGATATTTAACATTAGTGAGAAAACAATAGCGTATAATAAATATTCAACGAATATTTATTCCCGATTAATCAATGATATCAGAATTGTACGTACGAATATAAAATAACATTATCAGATACAATTTGATTATTCGGCACGACATATCGTATTATGTCGAAATAAGATATTAGTTGGTAAAAATTATTTATTAAATGCTCTTTTAAAAAACGATCATGTTGCACGAAATACGTGAATACTGGAATATTGGAAATATTTTGTTATACACGGCGTACATGCCGAAATATCGAGTCGTATCTTCTGCTTTTCCGAACCCGTATAGCGAATTTCCATTACTAAAATATATTTACGAGTATCAATAAAATTACGTATTACGTATATATTCACATCATTACGCGCGATATATAATATAATATCGAGAAAACGGTAATATTGCGTGTCCTCCCGAGACGTTTTCGCGTAGGATAAGATCGCAAATTAATTTTAATCATATCGCACACGTTATATATTTTTTGACGCCTCTCGCATCCCGTGCATCATAAATCATCACGCGATTCGGGGAGTAAATATGCATCGTCCATCACAACACGCGGAGAGAAAGAGAGCGTCGCATGCAAGCATCCCGCTGGAGCAGCGACTGTAAGAATTTTAATCTTTGTAAAATTTCCATGTAAATCCTCTCGCAGAACGCGGACCTTTTTCTTCGAAATAGATTCTCCTTTTCTGCATGCATTGGCGAATAAACGAGCGAGATTTTACATGCGACATAACGATCAATCGCGGACGCGCGATAATGCCACGAAGAAACAAGTTACACAGACATATTACATATTACAACACGGTATTTTGAAATTGGGCGCTTGTCAGTCGCGCGTTGTGACTGGCAATTTTCTCGAAAAAAAAGAAGAAATGCCGCGCGTTACCAGTCACGAAAACAATTTGTGCCTTTGTGATCGGATAGATGAAAGAATTCCGATGTTAAGGAACCGGCACGTCACGTCGGGGGGAATTATTACCTGTTGGGGATAATCACTTGAGGGGTCTAAAATGCGTGAGCCCGCCGTTCTTCTTTTTATCGCATCGTTTTCAAATCTAATTTATTTTCCCGATATATCAATCGCGTCCCGGTGTCTTGATGTATTTTATAAAAATTGTTTATCTCTCATATCGACGGTGACCATATTTTCTAAGGGAAAATAAAGGACAAATTTTAAAATTTAAGGCTTATTTCAACATGTTTCTAAATAAATTTGCGACCAAAGTGGAGATTGACGAGCTAAAAAAAATTCTGTGACTATCAGAAGTCTATATTTTTATTCTTATAGTTTGAAACTGATTCGACTATTTTAAACAAACTCGGTTTCTTAAATAAATTCGGATAAAAGGTATCGTTGTTTTCATATATATAAATTCTCACGTTAATACTACATTAGACAATGAAACACTAAATAAAAAATAAAGGAGAAAATTGAGATTGAAAAAATGAATAAATATAAAGAACAGCTATTTGAAGTAAAGGACTGTATTCTAAAATAAAGGACGAATGGTCACCGTACTCATGTCAAAATGCTGTTGAACTGCAAGTTATGATTCGACAATTTTACTCGCAGCATTAGTTTGAGGAATTGCGGGCTCCCAATTTTTCCGAGAATCGCCGCGTCGTCGAGTTATAGCGAATTCGGTTGGATGCACTAGTGCGCACTGAGTGCACATAAAGGTTATCGCACACAATTTTACGACATAAATAATAAAAAAAATAAAATAATATTAATAGTAAGAGCTATTATATTATTATTCATATTGAACAATTATAATAACTCTTATACTATTAATTATTTTCTTTTCTTAATTACTTTTGTCATTGTAAACTTGTGAGTGATAAACCTTTATATGCACTTGTCAGTGCGCACTAGTGCATTCAATCGAATTCGCTATTAGACAGATGTAAACAAGAGATAAGCCGCTTCGGTAATACAAGCTCGAGATGTTTTACTGTGAGAATATTGTACACATATATATGGATATATTGAATATAAAGATGTTTCTGAAATCGAGATAATCTTTAAACGCGATACAACTTGAATCGACACGTGCGCGGTTAAAAAAAGCTGTTCATATACATATATTTTTTTCTGCATAAAATAAATGTAACTTTGCTGCGTAAATAAATATTGCTTGATATTTTGAATAGTTAAGCATTGCGTGTGTACATTATTATCAAATTATTACTTTTAATTATAGCAGTAATATCGTATTACTTTTTATAGATTTTATTGTATTCCGCGCTGTAAATGCGTATAATAATTTGATAAATTAATATGATTAACATTTTATATCTTTAATTATATACTCGTTGCATGTGATTAAACTTGTAACGATGCTAATTTCCATTTAAGATTACAATATTTTTATTAACATAATCGATATTTTATTAAAAGAACCACATTTTTGTTAAAATATTAAGTGTTCTTTGTATTAATGATCGGTTTGGTTAAATGGAATTCATTTTAATTAAAATTCACTTTACATATATATTGGATGATCATATGAATAAAAGTAGAGTGTTGTTCTCCTTTTTATTTGTCAGAGGCTTTTGTCAGCTTACGGAAAATACGACATTGAAGCATTTTACTTGTGTCGATTAATACGATGTTTTAGAAAACATAAAAATTTTGAATCATATTTTACATTATAAATCTTTGTAAATAATCGCATCTCTCAGTTCATATCTATTCCAACAGCAATGACATTTGCAAACATACAGAATTATCGCTGTTTGTAATAAAAGTCGTAGATTATTTCATTTGAAATGTGTACATTTTTGCTTCATACATAGTTTTTTTAAATGAATAATGCTTTAGCTCATACTTCCTACTGTCAGTTATATTTTTCAGGTTTTTATTTTATTGATTCAACTTGCCGACTTGTAGGTATTTGCACATGTCGCATCTCGTGTCACCTGAAAGTTTTTCCCGACTATTTCCAGCATCTCTTCTTCATATTCAATATATTGCGTCCAGTTACTAAATTACACATTAAATCTCTCGACGAAATCAATTGAAATAGAATATTAACAGATAAAAGAGAAGTATTTATTGACCTGACATATGCAAAGCACAGGGTAGACAAATATTCTGCAATGACGACGCGACGCGACGTCTCGCGCATACGCGAATACATATATATATATATATATATATATATATATATGCATATCGCATACGCAGCGAAATGAAATTCTCACGGTCATTAAGTTCACGTCTATTATCAGGCCGGTACTTACGTTTATAAGCGTCTAGAGATCACGCAGAAAATGACCTGAATCCTCGATTCTCCGGGCGGATGACCACCGAATAGTTCTACCGGTGCTAGATGCGTCGATGCATTTACATGGAAATCTGATGGCCGATTGCATTCCAAACATTATGCTGTATTATCAAGGGATTCTAACCGCAACCTGTCCTAAGAATCCCCGGTATTTTGCATCGTTGTGCATCTAATATGCGCGCCGCGATTTTGACGAGGAATTAATTCGAGAAAATTCGATATCTGCGCGATTTTTCCCGAAAATTTGTTGCGCCAGACGACCGAGAGAGAATTGTTAAATATTTTCGGCTTTAATAATCCGACGGAAAATCAATGCTCGAACGGAAAGGATGTTGCGAATAGTTGGAGTCTTTCAGGACGTTCGTGACACAAGCACATATATATAGGTTTGGAATTTTCACTAAAAATATTCAGGATGTAATCTCTCGAATAAAATGTATTATATGTATTATAGGTGAGATTTACGAACGAAAACAGAGAAAGTGTGATCTCAAACATTTTACAAGATGCTTTTTTTGAACTAGTTTTTTTGTTTATATGAAAGTGTCCTAAATTTTTAAAAATGAAATTATATTTGTTATCGTATTTTTATAAACTATATAATATTAAAATATGTAAAAGTGATATTAAAACAAAATTGTAATAGAGAAAGTATAAATAGTGTTTTACAATAATTACGGAAAGTGCACATTTTAATTTTAAAATATCGATTGGCATATATTAATCGGCATGTTTTGATGCAATAATTATGATATTATAATATATAGGTATATATACATGCTAATATTTGAGTTTATATTGGATACATTAATTATTATTTTTAACATTATATTTGTAAATACTTTTTTAGTCTTCTTATTCGAAAAATCAATGAACTATTCTCGAGATTAATATCTTTACAATCTTTCGTTGAAATAAAATTACCATAAAAGCTTTAATTTTTATCACATTATATTATATCACATTATATTATAGGATATTGAATTACATGTAAATTAGTATATTATTACATATATTTACACAATATTGAAATCCTATAGAATATTGAAAGCAAAATGGAATTTCATCGGACCAACCTTTTCCCCTATCGATGGGAATTGTTCGGATATTGCGGTATCAGTGCACAAATTTTCGGTTAGCGGTTTAACTCCCGAATGAAACTGTCCGGACACTTCTTTTATATAGACACTTTCATACGATCTGGAATAATGAGCCGTAATTTACTGCATGAGTCCCTCGCGATATCCGCGCGCGGGACATGATTGAACCGTTAATTAGCCTCGAATTAAATGGCTCGATGCGGCCCGCTTGCGATTTTACAATTTTACAAAATGCAATTTCTCGGGCAGTGCACATTCTTCGATACGCGCGCTTCGTTTGTTCGTTCGTTGTGAAAATTGATGCTATTTTTTGCTTCGTTAAATTCTCGGACGGGTACGACAAGGGGGTATAGCGGAGAAAATTAATTATTTATTTCTTCGAGTCTCGCCCGCGAAAAGTAATTAAAGGCACAATTATCTGTTAATATCAAATTAAGCCGCTCAATTTGAAATTGTTGCAGGTTTTTTTCTGTTAATTGTGTATCGTGACGTTTTAAACGATATTCCACGTATATTTATATATAATAAAATGTTACTTTTACCAATAAAACTGTGTTTTAAACAGATGACACAGTTTGATAAATATTGCATTTGGAAAATGTAACTGAATTAATTTGTATCTCGTATATGTATATTTTACAAATTGATTTCGCAAAATGTAAGAATATTTCCAGATATTCAGATAAAATATTTTTCTAGTTAGAATATTTTCGAAATTACTTTCTTATTCTCTGCTGTTTATTCCATTGTAGAATTTTTGTAGCTTTTCGCTCACATGACATAATTATAATCATGAAAATACAGTAGGTATTATATATAATCGCGAGTGTATTTGCAGAATGCAAGAATTTTGAAATAGTTTTTATTTTTATGATGGTTTTATATTTTTCAAATGTTCTCGTAATTTCTCAAGTAACTGCATTATACATGCATGCTAGATTATAGTTGTAAACGTTGCCAAATACATTCTTTGATAATTTACTTTAATTAATACTGGAAAACTTTTTAAAATAGATTTTCTACTTATTCTTGAACATCATTCAGACTTAATTTTTTGCAAATCTTGACGATGTATTTTACTCGATTTTTAATGTCTTTTATTCATTGGATTGCTTTCTTATAATCTTCTTTTTAATATATTTGAAAACTAAAAATAATCTATGCGAGACAAAAAATTTTAATTAATTTTTAATTAATTAAAAATTTTTTTCTTGCATAGATTATTTCTAGTTTATATATTATTTTAGTTATATATTATATATTATTTTAGTTTATAATAAAAATATTTTAATTAATTTTGTCACTACGTAAAAAGTTTTTTTTATTAAAAAATTCTCATTAAAAAAACTTATGTAGATAACGAAAAGCATATGTTTACGTCGCGGCTGTATATATTACTTTTTCTAAGGCGGAATGTGTCGATTGAAAAGAGCATCTTCTCTTTCTTTCCTTCTCTCTCACTCACTCACTTTCTCTTTAGGTATCGAAGTTAATATAATAGAATCGTACGACGCGATATATATCTCACGATATAAACGCGCGCGAACTACGATATAACGAAAGTGTAACGTCCGATGAAAAGTATCCGGAAATAAACTTGTTGCGCGATCGGTAAATAAAATAATAACTAGGCCACGTAACTCGATTAAACCACAATATCGCGATATTAGCTCCGATGTGCACCGTGTCACAATCTGCGAGGTCTGTCGCGCGCGTCAAAAACTCGGGCAAGAAACACGCGCTATACTATTGTGTCACACTCCATGAACGCGCTATAATATCTATTTTTATATATTTATTTTATATATCTATTTTTTTCTTCTCTTCTTCTTTCCGGGTTTTTTTGTCGCTCGAATTTATATTCGCGGTGGAAACAATTGCATCGTCGGATGAAAATATTTTGCTTCGCTTTCTCTCTCTTTTACCTCCTTCGACTTTTGCGGGAATTGAGTGCGAAAAAAACTATTTCAATAACGAGGGAAGAGGGGAAATAACGAATGCGCGAGTTTTTTTTAAGATGTAAAGAGAGAGTGTGTGGAGATGGAAAACAGGGGCGTGATTACGCCGAATGTACGGGATCAGCTATCGGGAGAGAGTTTGAGCGGCAGCGGCGACGGCCATTGCAATTGCATGCGTGTCACCGCTGCAGGTGAGAAAGGAAAATCAGCAGAATAGACCTCGAGAGAGAGAGAGAGAGAGAGAGAGGTTGTGCGAATGCGAGCTCACACGTTACATTTGCAAGGGTCGCAATTTTCCGGAATCGCGACCCTATCGCGTGCACTACGTTGGTGCACGAGTGCAAATTCTGGATTAGGAAATAAACGATGTTTCACAGCTGATAAACTTAAGCATCCAGTCTAGCGTTAACTGCTCACCCAACAGTTAATACAATAATTGTTTCGCAAACGGAGATTACTTTAGTCCAATGTTGAAAAGCAGCGCGTTTATATATATTTTGCGAAATCAGGAAATAAATTTCAAATTCTCTGCGAAGTTGTCCTCTTTTGCAAAAAATCCGTATTTATGTTTAGAAATTATTTTTTCTCTCTTTCTCTAGATTAGACAATTTCATTTGCCCTATACGCTATATCGTGTAAAATAATTTCCAGGTCAATCTCTGTTTATGACGTACGCTTAAAGCTCGTCGTCAGTCTTGGATTATCTAGCCACAAGCAATTTACTGTCCCTCTTTAGAACTTACAGTTCTGTTTAATATATATATATATAGATATAGAAACAACTTTATACGTTTGTGTGTTTAAATACAGATTTTGACATAATTCTCTTATCTCTATATTATATACATTTTGCTAAACATATATTATAATTATACACATATATTATTATATATCTTATTCAAATTATATATGATTATATCTATTATTTTATTATATATTTTTTATGTATAAATACAGATTTTGACATAATTCTCTTATCTCTATATTATATACATTTTGCTAAACATATATTATAATTATACACATATATTATTATATATCTTATTCAAATTATATATGATTATATCTATTATTTTATTATATATTTTTTATGTATAAATACAGATTTTGACATAATTCTCTTATCTCTATATTATATACATTTTGCTAAACATATATTATAATTATACACATATATTATTATATATCTTATTCAAATTATATATGATTATATCTATTATTTTATTATATATTTTTTATGTATATTCACCAATATATCATATTATAAATGCTCTATACAATAATTTCAATTAAATTTTGTCACTTAAAAATATTTCGTAATCTATACAATATTTTCGCGCTAATAAATTTCATTGTGACTATTTTCTTCTTATTCTCATTTAAAATGTGAAAAGTTTGATTTGTTAAGAACATCCTACACACACACACACACACACACACAAAATCAGCATTTCAATTTTTCTGACGAGGCGAGCGCGTGGAATATGATTTCCGAAGTAAGAAATGAAAATATAGGAGAAAATTTTTTGGAACGCGGCCGATCGTGATTTATCGATGATTTTTCACAGATGTCGTGTCGGTTGTGTGTTCGTAGGTTCGAGGAGGATAAACCCGTGGGCGCGGATGAGGAGTTCGCGGAGAGCAAGTTCGACGATGAGAATTTGAGTCGTGCGGAAAGTGCTTTCAAGGGTGCCCGGGTCTTGGTTCGCGCGCGTTTCGTCAACGACGAGGGTTGCAGAAGACGACGAGTGCTGTAAAAAGGAGGCGGGGCGGAGTGTGTCGCTGACACGAGTTGACGCGACACAAAACGTGACGTGACGTGACACGACGTCGGGGTGTCGAGATGCCTCGAGATGAGATGGCCCCTCTTGGATCCGTCGCCTCGCTCCTCGCGCTTGTGCTCTACGCTTTCAGCAGCTGCCAAGCCAGGATAACCAATCAGGAAATCGGTGAGTGCTAGCTTTAAGTAATCTATGCGTGATAATTAAAGATGTGGCGTCTTTACACACATCTTTTTCTCATCTGTGGAATCTGTGCTTTTGAAAAAGCTCTTTGCTCTTAAGGGGATCTTAATCTAATTTAAGTTTCCTTCCTATTTTATCGACAAATGTGAAGTTAGATAAATTATAAATCGTTTATTATTGGCTATACGGATTGTTTTTTTACCTGAAATTAGAACGCTTCGCTCTTTGTTAATATTAATACTTAAATTTGTACAAGAAAAAGATTTATCAATCTGTATAGTTTCATAGTATAGTATAGGTATCTTGGTTACAGAATTATGAATTCTAAGCATTCATAATTCTGAAACCAAGATATATGAGACTATATACAGTGAAGTGTTCTATCTAATTTCAGGTAAAAAAACAATCCGTATAGCCAATAAATAGATTTATAGCTTATTTAACCTTACATTTTGTCGATGAAACATGACGGAAATCACAGACTTCTCAAGGATGTTTAGGATCGCCTTAAATATCCTATTCAAAATAATCCGCTCAAAGTATCGGGCTCTCATCTTCCGGTTCATGAAATATGTATTAAAAGTGACGCCGGTATACAAATTAACTCGGCTACCTCAATTTAAAAAGAGAAACGCGGGAACGACGTATCTCATTTGGTTGACGGTGTCGTCGCATTCCCTATGGAAACGCCTCGCTCGAAAACTTTCTCGAAGAATCCGACGTAGCGACGTCTAATGCATCTTGACGCGCGTTTTACGAGGAAAATGCGGAAAAACTGCGCAAGCACTGAATGTCGACAAATTCAACCTTTAGGCGGTAATAGTGTTGCCATGCTTCGTGATAAAAAAATGAGATTGACAAATGACAATGACTTTATCTCGCGATTACAGACAAATGCAGTTCGTTTTTTAGAATGACTTTTTTATGTTTGTGAATTTTAGAATCACGGTATTATGTGGGAGTATATTAAGATTTAAAATATAATAAAAAGTATATTGAGTTTTATGATTTATTGACATATAAATCTCTCTCTGGGGATGTTTAAGCTTGGACATACGAGATATCTACTTCAATTTTTCCTCATAAAACGCAATAAACCAAATTATAACCGAAAAATTGAGATATTTTTATATTTTAATCAAATAAAGTTTGATAAAATAATATTAAAATTGCTGAGAATTATTAAATCGATATTTTAAAATAAGTCTGAAAGTATTAGCTTTAAAATGTTTAGATCAATATTGCTTTATATTTTTCAAACATCCACGACGAAATGTTCTTTTTAAATAGCAGCTTCTCTTTAAACGATGCACTGACTCTTTTGTCCCCTAATTAAATGATTACTATTAGAAACAATGCCGCTTTGCCGCCGACGTACTTGGCATTCAAGTAATTTGCGAACTGAGACGCTCCAAACATGAAGTAATACGCGTGCGTGTTAGATGAAGAAACTTTGATGAAATGCGAAAAGACTTCCTGCAGTTTTAGAAACGTATGAATAAATCATTTTAGTCACGACGAGCATCAAAGCTATATATATAGCGTGATAGTACGCCATTCTCCTTTTCGCTTCTTTATGCAAATCAGAATTAGAAATCAATACAAAAAGATCAAAATTTTCTAATTACAATATTCTAATGAAGATATATATATTATAAATGTATAATTCATGTCTAATTTTCAATATTTAATGCCTAATATTTACAAAACTGTCAAAGATCGTGTGTTCCATCCGTGGACCAAAAGATTCTTACGTTGCAAACGTTACCTTTCATATCGGAAAACGAAAGCAGCAAGATGAAATAAGCTTCGAAAGCCAATAATCAACAATTGCTCGTTCATCCGTGAAATCGCGGGACGCTATTAAGGCTTCCCGCGTTTTTCGTTTCATTGGCCCCGCAAACTCGTTTCTGACTCTTGGCGCGATGTCGAGATTTTCACGATAGAGTCTCGAGCCACATTTACCGGACTAGCCCTCGATTCTCAGTACAATGGTTCCTCGAAATTTTAATTAATCTACAATTATCGAAATGTTCGAAATCACACGGCACGTTTCGTTTAATTAATTGCAGCTTTGCGAATCCTCGCTTTCACCATCCACGTTTCTCTTCCTTTCGTTCCGACTAGCCGTAATTACTTCAATTTCGCGCTCAACGTTAAATGAAACACACTTGACATCATTTAGTCGCGTATGGTCCCAAGTACAAATACAACTACTCGATTACACTTTGCTTTCGCCAGAATTATTTTCTTGTTGTTACCGCTTTTGTTGTTGTGAGAACCGCACTACAGAGATCTCTCTCTTTCTCTCTCTTTGATAGTGATTCTCGATAGTGATTCACGGTAAATATTTAAACGCGAAACGAATCTGACTACGGCCGCTAGCCAAAGTTGTCTGCTGACGTTGCGATCACGTTGAGCTTTAAACGCGGAGAGCGTTTGAGAAATTAACTTGCGGCGATTTAAATCGGATCAACTGTTAGAACAGCATCGATCCACCAAATCCGTGATTGCTACAAAAGATTATACCGAATCGGAATAAAATTACATTTCGTAAATTACGTGCGTATAATCTAATGACATTAAAGTCTCTTTTTCGTATATAAGAAAAAAATTCGATGTGTGTGTTCAAGAGTTTATTAAATAAAATTTTCCTATAAATAAAGGAGCGCGCGATCGCATCAATTTATCTATAGTAACTCCAATTTCAACGAAATGATTTATCGGCAGGAAATATACGGGGACTATATGTCTCTCGAGGAGTGACGACGTAATTTTTTACCCCGGTGGAAGGGGAGAGTATGAAGGAGCGCACTCTCGTAGAACGAGAGAGTCCACTGCGCATTTTCTTTTTTCGCATGCAGCGCGTCGTCCCGGCCTTGATGGTCCACGAAATAACGGCGACACGACGATCTCGTTAGAGCCGCGGTGTGTGTAAAATGGGTTAAAAACCCCTCATTTTCACGCCCGAGGGACGAAATTACGCGGTCCGGCATACGCGGTGGCTTTTGTCACTGGGTGATTCAATTGCCACGTTACCAACAAAAGTATACGTCGCTTTGTCCGCGTGTACACAAAGCGACGTTGCTCGACGAAAATTGGAATAATGTCCGACTCGCAAAGAGCTCGGGCGCGTGCCTGGTACTCATCCATGTAAAGAAACTCGGAATTATTACGAAATATGCATACGCATATTTCTTAATAACTCGCCCCTCTTGTCCTCTCCACTCATAAATACGTTTCATTTCGAGCCACGGGGTTGCACGGATGTAAAACCTATTAGAGACGGGAAAAAAGACGATTTAAAGAAAAGCGTTTGCCGGGCACGTTATATAATCTCATTAACTTTTTTTAGATAATTTTTTTTCTGTAATATGAATCTCTCGTGTTTTTGAAGCTTTCGAAAATATGCGAGCGTATATAAAACTCGAGATGAATCGGTTGCGCGAAATGACTTCGGCATATTTAATTGAATGTATATTAAGCTCACATTTATATCTTATTTATCAAGTTTAATCTCGTAAATATTTAAAAAAATGTATACGATGTTATTTAAAATGATTTTTCTTATATAATTTTATATCGAATATACTGACGCTATTTTTGACGTACTGTCAGATAACAGAAATATGAAAATACATTAATATCTTGTCAGTTAACATATGTATACGTTCTTATAAATCAGAGTATTAATTGAAATAGCATTATACAGAACCAATTTATATTATATATAATCCATATTGAGTAGATGAAAATTTAGATACAAATTAACAACAACAACAATAACAAAACTAAATACACTTAATTGTATTCGATATTATGGTATTGACAGTTCATATGACAATTACTAGATAATTGTAAACGAGAGAGACCACGTTAAACTATGTATTACTACATAGTTTGTTTCAAACAACCGTTTTGATTAAGTCAATATTTTCGAGATCAATAATCGAGAACGAAACAACTTTATGATCTTGATTGATCAGTCAATCGATCTTAATCTCAGGTAAAAGTTTCTGTTAATAGTATCGGTGTGCGGAAGTTGGAAAAATTAAATACGAATATTCGTAGTGCTGTATTTTTGATAGAAACTCGGCATATGATTTGAAAAACGGGAGAAAAATTGCGAATGAACGGAACAATTTTTTCCAATATGTATCGGTAATATAAATACCACCGGTCGTTACGTCATATCGACGTTACCCGACGCGATATTGAATTTGTGGTACGGCTATGCCACACGTTTCCGGTGAGTTAAATAACGGAGAGAACTGTTGTCTATGTGTTTCGAGTATTTTTATTAGTTGTGTGGTACATTTTCTGTGGATTTATGGAGTGTCACGTCATTTATCAAACACGATCGTGATCAAATAGAGATATGACATAATGTTAGAGTTCGATGAAAGCATATTTAATTAGATATACGTAAATCGAACATATGTAATCGGATATATATTCTTATATGTATATAGATATAGTGTCATGAAAAGTTAATCTCAGATACCGTTTACATAACTTATATCGCGTGTCAGAATGTCGAAGACAGGCGAGTCACCGTGCTCTAAATACACTTACAATATCGATTGCTGAATATGCGATCACTTTAACTGAATCTTGCTATGCATCGAATCGCGCGCATTAAATAAGTTTATCAATCTTGTTGACAGTTCCCTCTGTGATGGAGAATTATTTCATTGGTCGTTACACGTCGAATATCAATTTCTTTGAATATTTAATATTCATATTTTATTTTAAAAGACGTATTTTTGAGATCTTTTTCTAATAATATCTCGCTTTTTGCTCGGCGAAAAAAGAGAATTAATTTTTTTTCAACATTAAAAGTCACATTTTGTTAAAATAGCTACAATATGTATGATAAAAATAACGCAGAAGCAAATAAATTCAACTATACGTAGAACATTTTATATTTTTCTAGAATCCATAAAATAAAATTTATAAAACTTTAAAAGCTCAGTTTTTATTTA